AATGCGCGTTGGTGTGTAGTTCCTTTCCTACCCACCCCCCCCCCCCCCCCTCTTCAACTTTTAGGCAAAACACCTTAGATAGGTGGTCCATTGCACACAGTTCATTAATGCTAACGCACAAGCAATAGGGACATGGTGGAGGTATTAATCCAGTTAAAAAGCGATAATTCTCTATGGGTGATGCTATAGTAACTATTCACGGACCAATCGCTAAAAAGGATGTAGGCATAGTATTTGGCCCAGAGTTTCTTGCTGGAGACTGGAGCGAATGTGGTTGTGAAGAAATTCCTGCTGAAGCCATACTGAATTGCGCAATAAACTTGAGGTCCTTAGAACAGCAGTGGTTGTTGCGGCAAACTTGGCAGCTCAATGAGAACTACAAATTGGAACCCGAAATCCTCAAGGAATACTGTGATGATATATCAAGGATTCAAAACAGAGAACATATTCTAGGTACATAACATGTATATTATGAGTGTGTACTTGTACCGACTAATGAGTGTGTACTTGTACCGACTAATGAGTGTGTACTTGTACCGACTAATGAGTGTGTACTTGTACCGACTAATGAGTGTGTACTTGTACCGACTAATGAGTGTGTACTTGTACCGACTAATGAGTGTGTACTTGTACCGACTAATGAGTGTGTACTTGTACCGACTAATGAGTGTGTACTTGTACCGACTAATGAGTGTGTACTTGTACCGACTAATGGAACCAACTTCACCCAACCAACTTCACCCAACCAACTTCACCCAACCAACTTCACCACACGTTCTGCAGGTATGGCCCTAGTTGTAGTAGTTATCAAGGCAGATGAAGACTTGTTGAAGTTAAAGAACCTCAAAATAGACTGGAATAAGATTGGTATTATTGCGGCCTACGACATTGATAGAAGACTAAACCCGGATCTGCCGTTGTCAACGCCGGAGGAGAAGGTCAATTTTTCGGAAACTGTCATTACGCCTGCTTCTATCCTTGAGACCTGCGTTAACAAATTGTATTGCGACATGAAGCTAGGATACAAGGGCTGCTTTTATGGCGCCCTCTTCAAGCGGACCACAGGCACGCTGACCGACAACGTGGTTATTTCAGTCCAAGATAAATTCGGCGAGAATCCGCCGGTTGTATTTCTGGACACCGAATACGCTAAGGGTAAAGGGTCATTTAAAAGTTCTGTGCTCATGGAGTCTTGTTTACGCACGCCCTTTCCATTGGGCAACCTGTCTTGGCGATCTTTCGGAGGCCAAGGTCTTTGGTCATGGTGGCTGCACCGTCCGGACGGTTTGAGGGACCAAACGGCACTAAAAGATGCGCTAGAATTCGCCTTCAGAACGACCGTAGTTGTACAGGAAGAAGGCGACCGCTACGAGTGTGACTGGTGTGAAAAAATTTTCTACTACAAAGACGACCCCATACGCAAGTTTGATCACACTTATTGTAGTCTAGACTGCGTTACAGCCCATCGCAAGACGAACTGGAAAGGAATTACGATTAGGAATCCCTCCTGACCAGACAGACAGGTGAATGGGCATGGGAATATACCAAGCATGGAAATGACACCACCAAAAGTGTGTCTGACGTTTTCCTGCAGGTCGGGAATCGTGTGTGCCGCGCAATGCGTCAATTGACTTGGTCGGAACTATACGATGAATTCCTTCAAAAAATGATAACTCATCAACGTCATTCCTCGAACATAAACACTGCTCATGTAAGCAAGCTTTTTGAACGCGATTTAGTACCTCGATTTAGTACAGGCTTTAACACCAGGCTTTAACACCAGGATTTAGTACCAGGCTTTCCGTTCCCATCAGGCTGAAATTTGTTGTATCTGAGTAGCCGAGATTTGGTCAGCTGCTAATGCGCTAATACTGACCAACGGTTGAGCTAATGGCTGGGTGAATGAGTCGCGAGGGTTAGTGTTTGAAGTGGGGGGTTAACGGTACATGAGCAGGGTACATGAGCAGGCAGGTACAGCACGCAAGGTAGGGTAGTGAAAAGCAGTTGGTCTGCAAGACGCTTTGATGTCGCTCTTTCTCCAGTTGGTAGAGTCTATATTAAAGACTGCGGAATTGGTGCCGGATCCCGTGACAGGCCACCTGCTGCCCCCGGATTGCCCGAGTGTGGGGTCACTGGTCCACACCACCGGACTGTGTAAGCCGTGTGTCTTTGCCCACAAGATGTCTCGCGTGTGCCTGAACGGAATCAACTGCGCTTTCTGCCATTACTCTCACGCACACCGCCGCCGCAGAAGACAGACTGCCAATCGCAAACTAGACCCCTCCCCCATTAGCGAGGACATCACCAGCGACGGAGGGAACTCTGAAGGCTGCTCCTCCTCCCCCAGTAACTCCTCATCCGCGGCCCTCATTATGGAATCCCTCATCCAACTACTCCTCCTCGAACAAGAGGACCTATCTCAACCATGCGGTCTGCAACACTGATCAGACCAAAAGGATCAACCAAAGGGCCCAATCAAATCGCCAACCAAGCGGCCCCAAACCAACTACAGGGTCCAACCAAACGGTCCAACCCAACGGTCCAACCCAACGGTCCAACCCAACGGTCCAACCAAACGGTTTTGGACAAAAGGTTTTGGTCGCCTGAACTTACCGGCTTTATAATGGCCCTAGGCGCCTAACCAGCAAGTTTTTGACAAGGGCCACCGGCCTTTCACAGCGGCCCTTAATCGACCCGCGCAAACTGGTATTATGTAACCGGCCCGAATTGGTATTAAGCAACCGACCCAATCGGTCTCTAACAATGACCCAATCGGTCTCTAACAATGACCCAATCGGTCTCTAACAATGACCCAATCGGTCTCTAACAATGACCCAATCGGTCTCTAACAATGACCCAATCGGTCTCTAACAATGACCC